AAAATGTAAAATTTTTTATAGTATTCACATGTATGAGATCAAGCTAGAAAAGAAAAAGGGTCACCTTCTTTTACTAACTTCTCCTAATAAACATGACTTTCCTTCTTACTTGCCTTTTTTTCTACTAGTCCTTCACCTTTTCTTTTCTTTTTTTTTTAAAAAAAAGCTTATTTCCTTTTCTTTTTCTCCATTTTTTCTTCTTTTTTTCAACTCCTTTCCCTTCCTTCTCTTTTTTTGAGCAAACCTCTTTCCTTTGTAAAGAAGAAGACCCTTAAAAAATCTCTCTTTTTTGGTGAATATGAGTCCTTGAATCAAATCTCATCCAAAAGGCCAAAGTTTCTTCTTTTTTTTTTTTTTTCAAAGAGCAATATTTAGCCATTGGGTCAATATTCAATAAGAGATCTAATGGCTCACATTATTCACTACAAAGATTAGATTTTTATAGTCCTTAAACCAAATCAAAAGATCATTTTACCCTTAGTACAAAGTTTTCAGTATTTAAGCCACTTTCTTGGATTTCAATATTCTCATGCTCATTTTTCAGATTTTAAAGCATCGAAAATCATGAAATATTATAAAATTGAGATCTTGAAAGTTTCATGAAAATCTAAGCTCGGGAAGGCCAAATTATGAAAATACCTCTTAGGGGTATTTTGGTAATTTAACATCTCTCAGGGTACTGCTGTGATTTTAAATGCATCAAAAATCATAAAATATTATGAAATTAAGATTTGAAAATTTTCGTAAAAATCAAAGTTCAAGAATGTCAAATTACAATACCCTTAAGGGATATTTTGGTAATTTCACACCTATCGTGGTACTGTTATGATTTGAAATCCACAAAAAATCATGAACTAAGATCTGAAGAGTTTCATGAAAATCCAAGCTCAAAAAAATTGAATTACAAAAATACCCTTAAAAGGTATTTTAGTAATGTTGTAATTCCCTAAGTGTTATAAAATTTTTTATTGTTTTAAAAATTATCAATTTTAACTTTAAACCACATTGAATCCAATTAGGTTAGGAATTTTGAGAATTAATTCAGGTTCTATCCATTTTCACTAAGTTTTGTGTAATTTTGACTTTATTTAACTAATTTAACTTTATTGATAAAGCTTGATCAAATTTGACTCGAGTTTGGGTCTCTAAATGGGCTAATTTGTGGGCTTTATAGGTTATAAATAGTCCTCCTAAATGATTTACGTAATAGATCTATATTAATGGTTTCATTCCATGTTCGTAAATGAGTCTAAGTCAATCATGTTAAAAATATTTCGGATAAAATTCAGTGTCTACAATTTTGAAATATTCAAAAACTCTTTAAAACTTTGTCAAGATCTATGTCTCGACTTTAAAATATCATGATTGACTAGAATGTACCTGAATAATTTATGTCTATAGTATGAACCTAAGTCTTTGACTTAATTTATCGCTCTTACTAAGAAAAAAAAGATTTGATACCTGCAATTAAAAAGTTATCTTTTTTTAAGATGCAATAAATGAGGAAGAAAGGTTTATGTTTTAACTGTGATGAAAAGTTTAAACCTAGGCATAAGTGTAAAAAGCCATCTTTAATTGAAATTGAAAATGATAAGGCTGATGATGAAGGCATTGTAAGAGATGGTGGAACATAAATTAATATTTGCAAAATTTGATCCTTGAGGACAAAAATGTTCTTAGAAGGGAAGAAATGTTACGTACTCTAAGATAGGATTGAAAGATAGGATTCAGACTAGAATTAGAATTGAAGATTATTTCACTTGATTATCTTCAACTTATTTTAACTATAAGAATGTCATGCTTTGTTGTGGGTCAAAATTTTTTTTGTTTTGTCATCTCTATTTACTAAATTTTTTTGTAAAATTTATCTAATTAAAAAAAAAAAGATGAAAGGTAAAAAAAAAATGAGAATGACACATGGATACTTCAATTGGTCTCTTTTTCTCATCAAATTTAGCCAGTAAAAAAAATCAAAAACAAAAAAAAAAATTGACAAAATTGAAAAAACAAAAAATGAAAAAAAAGGCTAATAAAGGTTGTTACATTGACACTCCATATTTAGTTTAAAATATTAATTTTTTAAATTAAGTTAAACAATAACTTTATTAATATAATACATATATGTATAAATTAAATAAATAATAAAATAGATACTTATATATATATATATATATATTTCTAAATGAATCAGAACAAAACACCTAAACACAATTCCTACATGATCTTGTTTCTTTTTAAAAAATTTAACTCATTTCAACTTAATCTGAATTTAAAAAAATCTCTCTTTACCAATTCAAGATATATAAAAATCTATCGAATACATATTGTTTTGGCATTTCAATTAATTGGCCATTTTCATAGTAAAATTTATCTAATTAAAAATTAAAAAAAGTGACATGGAACAAAAAAACCAAACAATTTGCCATATAGGCACCTTCAATGGGTTTTTTTCTTCACAAAATTACTCTAGTTTAAAAAAGGAAAAAGAGAAAAATGAAAAATAAAAGAAAAATAAAAATAAAATTTTAAAAAAAGGAAAAGAAAACTCATGGCATGGACATTCCAATTGAGTAAAGACCTTTGAATACGAATTGTTTTGTCATTCTTATCTATTAGTTCTTTCTATTATAAAATTTTTCTGATTAAAAAATTTTTAATTCAAAAGAAAAAAAAATAGTTGCCGCGTGGATGCTTACGTTAGTTTTTTACAAATTGTTACATTAGTTTTTATAACTTAAAAAAATAAAAAAGAATGTTGAAAAAACAAAACAGGAAAGAAAAAAAAAAACCAAAAAAGGAAAGAAACATAAGGTAGCTTGTTGAGACTTGAATGATGGTTAAACAAAATAGTCAAATTTATATAATGGATGGATGGACGAATTACATTTTAATTATGTATAAATATAGTATTTTTATTAAATAAATTTGCTTAATAATAACATTATTAAGATAATCATATATATAAATATTAAATTAAATAACTAATTAAGAATATAATTTAATATATAATTAAGGTAAAACAAAACATCATAAACCAATCTTCGACTTGACCTTGATTTTTGTAAAAAACCTCAATTCAATTTTGAATAAAAAAACATAACTAACGAATCTGGATGAATCAAATTTTATCGGATACAGGTTGTTTTGTTATTCATACCTTTATTGAAATTTTTCTTAAAAAATTATTTACCAGTTTCTTGTGTTGTAAATTATTTGATTAAAAAAATAAATTAATAATCGAAAAGCAAAAAGAATAAATAAATAAGGTGTCACATGTACACATCCATTGTTTTGGTTAAAATTATCTAATAAAAAAATTAAAGGAAGGAAACAATAAAGAAAGTAAAAAAGAAAAGATAAAAAAAGCAAAAGAAAAAAAAAAAGAAGATAGTTGTATTGCCATGTGACATTTTGCAATAATGAGCTTTTTTTGCAATTTTTTTCTTTTTATTTTAATTTACTTTTTTTTTCTTTTTTATACTTAATAAATTTTTTTTTTTTAGGGTCAATTTGATATTATTGATTAAAAACTCATGATATAAATTTGTTGTAAAACATATACAATTATAATTTTTTTTTAAAAAAAATTATATCATGAGTTTTTTTAAATAAAAAACTAAAAAATAAAACACAATGTGATGTCAAAAGCTTTATTAATATCCATTTTAAAAAATTATCAATTTAAAGAAGGAAAAAATAACAAAATTTATATTTTTAATAATAATAATAATAATAATAATAATAATAATAATATCAAATAGGTCAAAATTTTAAACAATATTTAAAATGTTTACATAAAAAATAAGGGAAAAATTAAAATAGAAAACAATTTAAAAAAAAAAAGAATCAAATGGCTTGGCACATGATATATCTTTGATACAGAAAGTCTTAAAAAATAAAATTAAAAAATATTTATTAAATAAATTAAAAAATAGTAAAAACTGAAAAAAAAAAGTTTAAAATAATAAAAAAAATATGGCACTCAATAAAAAAGGAAAAAGATAAAAAAAAGGTGATACGTGGCATATCAATAGTGACTGTATACATGTAGGATTTATATATATAAGACTTTTATAGTGCATTTATATATAGGATTTTTTTAGTTTTTCTTTAGGACGGGTCTTAAAAATTAAAATCTAAAAAAAATTTATTAAACGTATAAAAAATAAAAGAAAGGAAAAAGGAAAAAAATACGTGGCATGCTTTTTGTATCAAATAACTCCCACATAAAAAAATAAATCTAAAAGATATTTATAAAATATCTTTTTTTAAGAAAAAAGATTAAATAAAAAAATTTAATATAAGGGGATTTCACGTTAAACAAAAAGTAAAATCTTTAAAAATTATAGTTTTATAATTTTAAAAAATATTTATTAAATATTAAAAGAAAAATTAAAAATAATTAAAAAATTATCATTGGTTTAGAAATTTTTTATGATCTTAAAGTATGATCGCTCTCTATATATTGTGTATTAACATCTATTATAAGACAGAAATTAACAAAAGTTTTGTTTCGCAACTTGGCATAAAACTCCCTTATTACCAATTTTGAGTTTGATTCAACGTAACTCTTTCAATCAGATCTTGGAGGCATAGGCCGAGGCCCATAAGCAACACCATAGGAGATGTAGAGGAAGTGGAATCTACCGAGGATCATGCAACTTGGGAGCGGTATATAGGAGGGTGAGCATCAACGTTACTAAACCTGTAAAAAGCAGTAGTAGAGTTGATGTCAGTGGTGGGAATATACTGTGGTTTTATTTCGCTATGGAAATCTACCAAACTATTGTTTTGTACGTGGGAGACTTCAACAAGAGAAAATAAATGTGATACTGCTATCAAGATGAAACAGTAACGAGGTTGCTTTCGTTGAAAGAGTGGTACTTGGCTGAAAGCAGAAATCCAAAGCAGAGGGCGGAGCATTAGTGTTTAGGGTTCCAAATATGGCTCCCAGATTCTCTAACGCGAGACCTGTGCGGTACCCACCGGCAGGAAAGGGCAGGGAACATGCACGAAGAATGAAATGAAATTACATTGTTTATTTTAAAATACACTAATTATTTTTAATTACATATAATTTCAAATATGTCAATATAAAAGCAAGGTTTATTATGAATGCGTGGTCTATTGAAGTAGCCCATTTATTTGTTTTGTTTGTCACCAACTACAAACGAAAAACAAGCAAAAGAGTCAGGACCTTAACAGAATCTTACGGTTTGAATTTGAAGTCACAAATCAAGTAAGAAAGAAATGCAAGGTAGGCCATGTATGTTGAGTTCTACCCTAATTTAACAATACATGCATAGTTTTAGGCAATTTAGTCGTCTTTGCCACTTTTCTTTTCACCACCTTTCAAGAACCGTGCGAACCAATAAGCAGAAGATTTGGGATGCCTGATCAGACCATTCTTGTAATCTACATAAACCAAACCAAAGCGTTTGGTATATCCTTGACCCCACTCAAAATTGTCAATTAGTGACCATGCAAAATATCCCCTCACATCTGCTCCATCTCTGCAATTGCAAATATAATCAACTTATTAATGCATTTTCTTCCATTCTGTATTAACCACAAGTAATGGTCAACACTGAATACACTTTAATTTACTGTTAGATTACATACTACAATAAATATTTGATGCTTTCTCTTACATTGACCCCATGAAAAGAGATTGAATTTCTAAAAAAGAAGATGCTCAATTAGAAAATTCCATGTGATATGAAGATTAAAAGCGGACCAACTCACTTGATTGCCTGAGCAACTGCGGCAAGGTATCCCTTAAAGTAGCGAACTCTTAATTTGTCATCAAGAATATCCTGAAGTGGCAAACTGTTGTCCTCTTCATCATCCATCCCTGTCAAAATTTTGACAGAAAAAATTTAAGGAATAATGAAGTCAACCGACCTTGCTTAATCCTTGATTGTACAATTGTATGCTGACTACAGAAGGTTCTACAGTAGCCTGTCAACTAGCTGAACCTTAAATATATCTCGCCTATGAGGTAGCCAGACTAGCCCATAAGGAATATCCCTAAGTTGTTAAAATTAAAATGTCTTCCAGAAGTAAAAAATTATTTTTATATGGGTTGTCACCAAAAAACTGACCGTGGACAGCATCTGCATGTATGAAAAATAGATGCAAAAGCAAAACAGAGACCATAAATCGATTATTATCTCGATTCTCAAAGTCAAACCGCATACCATTCTCGGTGATATATATTGGGGGATTGTTGTATGTTTGTGCTATGTAATTGAGAACCTTCCGGATGCCCCAAGGGACAATGTAGAGCCATTCTGATGCTGCCTGCCATGCTTTAAAACTTTTAGCATATCAAAATATAAACCTAAAGAAAAATGTGTTTTTGCATAAAATATACATGCACAACAAAAAGAGAGTCTGCACCTTTTCACCAATCTTCTCGCCTCCTTCCCATTCAACTGGCAAGTACTAAGAACATTAGTGCACAAAACAGAGACAGATGAACACATGTAGAGAAAGAGAGATTATTACCGATTCTCTCCATCTCTTGAGCCTTATAGAAAATAATTTCTTCGGAACTGTTTGTTACATGAGAAATAAACCTTGATGTATAATGATTAACACCAAGAAAGTCCAATGAGTTCATAAGCAATTCTTTTTCTTCCTGTGAGAACTTGGGAAGTTGATCTAATTTTTCACGCATAACTGCAGGATAGTCTCCATAATATAATGGGCACAAGTACCTGTAGCAGTAGTAATAGAATTAGGTGAAAAGGTTCTCAGAATGGAGAGAGAGAGAGAGAGAGAGTATTGAAATTAGGAAGCATTTTAGATCAATAGGGTGGCTTAGGGATAATGTACCTAGAATGTTCTATATAATATTTGAATTTAAAAGACATAAACAACTCTTTTTTTAGCAGAGCCTGCATTTTTAATTGCTTGGTGACCTTGCCATTAAAATGACATTTATATAAGTATCCTTAGCTACCCCACCCACAAGAGATTCCTGTCTCAAAACATCACAAGTCTTTCATATAACATTTCTCACATACACGAAAAGAAAAAGGGAACACTTCCCGTTTACATTAGTGAGGAACAGTTGCATTAGTCTTGAATTGATTTTTATGGAGCTAATAAGTTAGAATGTTCATGAGAGATTGACAAAATGACTATTTACACCTTATCTTTTTAAGGGTTGAAACACTTACATTATATGGCTAAATGAGAAATTTCAATTAAGGATATTTAAAGGTAACAAAGCTCCACGTTAGAGAACAACTTGGTGTACTGTTTAGGTAATGGCTTTAATAAGTACAGATGATGGCAATAATTATAAAGTAGTGTTAACAAGTTTTAACAGGTTAAGTTCTGCATATTATCTTTGATTCTTGAATATTCAGAGAAAACATATATTCAGAATGTGAAATGCACAACTTCCATACATAAATTTGAAATTTCTTCGAGTGAACTTAAGCTAAACCAAAAAAATCCAATTGAAGAGATTTCATGTCACCAACAATAAGCTCTTATCTTTTCTATGTGATTGTGTGATCACTATAATTAACTTGAACACTGAACATAAGCAGAAATACCATCCAAGTTGAAAATCAAGGCGCCTTGCCGCAGCAGATTTGTCTTCAATTTTGTCTGAATTGGCCTCTGCCCATTCACAGTCTAGCACCCACCCAATTTGTCCCCCTTGCTTATCCTAGCACAACAAGAATAACAACAGCAAAGACACAAAGAATTTTACTCTTGTAATTATACAGATAAGAGTTTTATTTCACACAAAACTACAAAATGACAATCACACTGGTGATCACAAAGAAAATCGTATCAAATATGAAATGACCTGTCTGGAAAGTAATTTGTAGAATGTGCTGAATATAAATATTTGCCTTCGTATGGAGAGTCTTAGAGAGTGGACAAGATAACCAAATGAGACGGCAGTAATTACTAAAGTGGTTTTAGCAAGAAACACACTTAAAATTTACATAGATAACTTTAGTTGAGCTGAGTGACAATTAAAGTTGAGAGTTTGAAGCTATGGTATTTACAAATTACAACAGGTTGTATTTCATGCAGAATAATAATCAGTACGGAACCTTAACTTCAATTGCTTAGATGATGTGACCACATTCAAAATTTTATATGCCTTCTAAACCTACATAGGAATAAAAATAAATCCATAACCTAATGCTGACATTCAAACATGTAACCTTTTGGAAATTAAAAAGAAAAAAAAAAGTCAACACCACTAACTCAAAGAGTTTGCTAGATTAGATCCCAAAGTAGCCTTTTCTCTTTTGATGGCCAGAGGTTGATTTTCCAACAAAAGAGAACAAAGAAAGGAAATCAGGAAGAACAAAGGTTGCTAAAAAAAGTTATGTGTCTACTGGATTCCTCTATTGGTCTAGCACCTCTCTTATTTTGGTAGTTTATTTGCAGATAGAGGATTTCAAGATGAACCACAACACATGACCAATTATTTCTATTTATGATGATGAATGTTTATTGGCTGCCTAGATCCTTCTCTAGATCTGTTCATTATCGAGTACCTTGTACTTGCTTCTGTATATTGAAACAGCCCTTGCATGGGCCAAGATCTGATGGTGTGCAGCCAAATATGGTTCTGTTGATGAACCTTCACATCTTCCAGGAGCAAATATCCCAGTACCATACCCATTCACTGCAGTTTGGAGCGGTTCATTTATAGTGATCCAATTCTTTACTCTATCACCAAAGTGTGCAAAGCAAGCATCTGCATAAACAGCAAAGTAGTTTCTGGACAATGGCCAAGCAGAAGCCATATCAGAGTTAGCATACAATATGTTATTAGGTTCATAAATCTTAGAGGGTGACACTCAAATGAAATAATTTAGCAAGAGATTTTCCCAAACTTAAAGAGAGAAACTGGATGCAGATGATACAAATGATTTACAATTACTGTGCTCTTACCCTGAAAGGCCTAAGCAACATCTTTTGATGTTTATGCAGCTTTATCCATGCTATGCTGTGATAAAGTAAAAAAAAAAAAAAAAAATCTATATATTGGCAAAGAAAAAAAAAGAAAACAAGAAGTGCCAGTGCCCCATGCATCCCAATCCCTTCCCTGTGCCAAACCAAAAACAAAAAAGGGGGAAATGGGGGGGGGGGGGGGGGGAGGGGACAGCATATAATATGGATGGATACAAGAACCTTAGGTTTATATACAACTAACTAGGGGTTAAATTAGGAAACTAAATCTTCCAAAAAAACTAATCCTATAATTGAGGGATTGTCTATCTTAATTTTTGTCCTTAATTCTAGGGATACAAATACTTAATTCTAGAGATACAAATATAAATATACAGATTACAAGATTACAACCAGCTGTAAATAAGTGTTTTCCCACACTCCCCCTCAAGCTGGTGAATAGGTGTTTTCCATTCTCAGCTTGGAAATAATTTCTTGAAATGTTACACTGTTGAGACCTTTAGTCAACACATCTGCAAGTTGACCCTTGGTTGATACATAAGGTGTACAAATCAACACACTGTCTAGTTTCTCCTTTATGAAATACCGGTCTACTTCAATGTGTTTTGTTCTGTCATGTTGCGCAGGATTGTGTGCAATGCTTATTGCAGACTTGTTATCATAGTAGAGTCTCATTGGTCCATCCCACTTGATCTTCAAGTCTTCTAGGATAATCTTTAACTATAGTAGTTCACAAATTCCTTGAGCCATTACTCTGAACTCTGCTTCAGCACTTGATCTTGCCATCACATTCTGTTTTTTACTACTCCAAGTCACAAGATTACCGCCTAAGAAAGTGTAGTAGCCTGAGGTGAATCTTCTATCAGTTACTGAACCTGCATAATCAGCATCTGTATATGCTTCTAGAACTAGCCCCGAATTTCTTTTGAATAAGATACCTCTCCCAAGATTAGCCTTCAAATAGTGCAATATACAGTAGACAACCTATAAGTGCACTTCTTTAGGATTATGCATAAATTGACTTATCACACTCACAGCATATGCTATATCAGGTCTAGTATGTGAGAGATAAATGAGTCTTCCCACTAATCTTTGGTACATCTCTCTATTTACAGCAGCATCTTCATTAGCTTCTCCAATTTTATGATTAAGATCTATAGGGGTATTTGCAGGTTTACATGCGAGCTTTCTAATTTCCTTCAGAAGATCTATCACATTTCTGTTGTGAGATGAAGATACCATGTCGTGAGTGAGCTACTTCAATTCCTAGGAAGTACTTCAATCTCCCTAGCTCTTTTATCTCAAATTTTCTAGCCAAACACTGTTTTAGATTCTCTCTTTTTTTCATCATCTCTAGTTACAATTATATCATCAACATACACTAATAAAACTGTGACTCTCCCTGAATCAGAATGCTTGATAAACAATGTGTGATCTCCTTGACTCTGTTTATATCTCATTGCTAGCATCACTTTGGCAAATCTCCCAAACCAAGCCCAAGGAGACTGTTTAAGGCCCTATAAAGCTTTTTTCAGCCTGCATACTTTGTTTGCTTCTAGATGACCTCCAAATCCTAGTGGAACCTTCATATATATTTCTTCTTCCAAATCACCACGTAGAAAAGCATTCTTTACATCAAATTGTTGAAGTTGCCAATTGTAATTTGCAGCCAATGATAACAAAATCCCAACTGTATTCATTTTGGCAATTGGAGTAAAGGTTTCCTGATAATCCACTCCGTAGGTTTGAGTGTAGCCCTTAGCCACTAACCTGGCTTTATACCTTTCAACAGTACCCTCTGCCTTGTATTTTACAGTGAAAACCCATTTACACCCCACTAGATTTTTTCCTTTAGGCAACTCTACCAGTTCCCATGTCTGATTTTTCTCTAAGGCCTCTATTTCTATTTTCATGGCTTGCCTACATTTCTCACTGGATAATGCCTCGGATAATGTAGTTGAAACAGAAATAGTATTTAGGCTCACAAAAAAACTTCTGTGGGATGGTGAGAATTTTTCAAATGACACAAAATTAGAGATTGGGTATAGTGGATGCTTAGTACATTCTCTAGTTCATTTCCTAATGGCAATAGGCAGATCATAATCACTAGTTATAGTTTTAAGAGATTTATGTTCATTTTGAGAAACAGAGTCAAAAACTGTAGTTACCTCATTTCCAGAGTTAGGATCAGGTTCTTGGACTGAAACTAGTTCAAGATCTGGAACTTTCCTTCTTAAGTACACCTGTAATTCCTTCATAGAATCAAGAACAATATTTTCCGTTGTCACATCTTCTGTATTTGGAATGGGTTCAGACTCAAATTCAGTGTTTAACTTGGGTTCAGTAGAAACAGGTTTCGACTCAGAAGAATTAATGGGTTTAAATGTTGAAGAATGAGACAAATCAAGCAAAAAGAAGCCTTTATCTTTATCTTCCATGAATGAAGTCTCCCCCTGAAGATAAGGTTGAGTAAAAAATGATTTACTTTCTTCAAAAGTGACATCTGCAGACATATAGAATTTTTTGGTAGGAGGATGATAGCATTTATATTCTTTTTGAGTTGAGGTATACCCCACAAAAATACACTTAATCGCTCTTGGATCCAACTTTCCCTTGTTATGACTATGAACATGAACAAATGATGTACAACCAAATATCCTAGGTGTGAGATTGTTTATGGTATTGAGGTTGGGATAAAATTGTGAGAGTAGTTCCATAGGAGTTTTAAATCCCAAAACCCTTGAAGGTAACCTATTTATAATGTGTGTGGCAATGAGAACAGCTTCCCTCAATAAGATTTAGGTACATTTGCTTGAAAAAGAAAAGCTAGGGTTGTGGCTAGTAAATGGTTATTTTCCCTCTCTGCCACTCCATTTTGCTGTGGAGTATTGACACAAGATGACTCATGGATAATCCCCTCTTTTTGAAAATAGGTGGATAAACTCTGGTTGAAATAGTCTCTTGCATTATCAGACCTAAATCTCTTGATTCTCACTCCAAATTGATTTTGGATCATGTTTTGGAAGCTTAAAAAAATACTATTCACATCTGATTTGAATTTAAGTAAAAAAACCTAAGAGACCCTAGTACAATCATCTATGAATGAAACAAACCATCTTGCACCAGAAATATTAGGAATTGTAGAAAGACCCCAAATGTTACTATGAATTAAGTAAAAAGGAGTAGAACTTCTTTTGTTACTAATTGGAAAAAACACACGTCTATGCTTTGCAAGTTCGCAAACATCACAATGAAAATCTTCGACATTTAATCCTTTGAACAAAGAAGGAAACATGTTTCTCAAAGTTCCAAAAGAAGGATGTCCAAGACAAAAATGGTAAATCCAAATTTTGTATTTATTGGAAGATTTTACAGAAAGAAATGACAAAGGTAAACTATTCTTGATATTACTTGTGTTATTTGATGTCTCAAGATAGTATAGTCCATCATTCTCCTTAGCAAGTCCAATTATCTTCCCCGAACTCTGGTCTTGAAATTCATAATAAGAGGGATAAAAAGTCACTTTGCAATTCATATCTCTGGTAAGTTTTTGTATAGATATCAAATTAGTAGATAATCCAACATGAAGAACATTTTTTAGAACAAACGAGAGATTAACTTGAACATCTCCTAATCCTGCCACTGTAGTAAATGAACCATCTGCAACAACAATTTTCTTATTACTAGGACACAAGGTATATGTACTAAACTTCTGTAAGGAATGTATCATATGCTTTGTGGCTCCCGAGTCAATGACCCAAGAACTCGTAATAAGTTTAACCGAGACATTTAATCCATGAGAACCAGAAGCTTTACCTGAACTAGAGACCTTACCCAAAGAACATATCACAGTAGGCTTTTCAAGGATTTTCAATAAGTTTCTCAGCTTTTCAATCTCTTCCCTGTCGAACTCTCCTTGTTTCCGAGACATCTGTAGTACTCCAGTGATTTTTCCAATTGACATTTCCTCAAATTGGGTGGTAATGATATCTTTTTTTGAAAGGGTTCGGCAATAAAAGCCTAAACAGGATTTGGCAATGAAAGCCTAAAATAGAAGTCAACAATGAGGGCTGAAAAATTTTGCTTCCCAAGAAGAGCCTAAAGCTCTGATACCATGTGAAAAAACTAAAAAATAAATCAGTGTGAAAACTGAATGTATATTGAAAAACTACTCTACAAAATTATACAAGAACCTTAGGTTTATATACAACTAACTAGGGGTTAAATTAGGAAACTAAATCTTCCAAAAAAACTAATCCTATAATTGAGGGATTGTCTATCTTAATTTTTGTCCTTAATTCTAGGGATACAAATACTTAATTCTAGAGATACAAATACAAATATACAGATTACAATATTACAACCAACTGTAAATAAGTGTTTTCCCACAATTTACAGTGATATCAATGGAACTTTTGAGTCAGGATTGAGCATGAAGCCCTATTAGTATCTTCTACACTCCACATGGACAATACATGAAACTTGTTCCTATGCAAGCTATAAATTACAGCTCCAAAGGCAGGATAAACTGGGTGATCTAAATTTGAATAACATCCATTCAATAGTAAAACCTGCACTACACAAGCAGAAAAAAAAAGTAAAACAAAAAATTATGGTATCATCTATGTGAAGAATTTTACTAGATTATTAATAGAAACTTCAGCTGGATTATCTTGTCACTTGCAGTAAGCCAGTAACCTATTTATGGTCCCACAGGTGGATTAACAACTTAAGACGGACAAATACTAGAGAAACTTGTTTAATCTGAACTCCAATTAGATATCGTTTTTTGACCCATGGAAATGGGT